TATAAATAAAAAGGTAGAATTAAGTTTTCCCATCCAAATATAATCTACACCAGTTTAAGGCGAATGTGAATAGGCTATCCGTGGGCCCGCGAGCCCCATCTTAGACCACATCATCGCTTTTCATCAGATGAGACAGCGATCAATCGCGGAACCCTTCAATAGTAAAAATAAAATAGTATCACTTTCCAGCAGCGACAACTCTATTAGCTATCCAAATAAGACCGATGTTAATATTATCGAGAACTATACACACTAGAGACTATAGCATGAGGTTATCCTTGGCGTTACAGGCATCCTTAAGCTACGATAAGCCAGTTTACTGTCAGCCGGACCGTATGCTTGTTTACCAGCATAGTAGTATAGAAAAATAATTATAATATATATATTATACTGTATATTTATCATACTGTTATTTTCATGGTACTGCTCATGACAATAGGCGACGGTTACCACTTTCCATCAGGTGGGCCGTCAGCTTATTTGACATTCTAAGTTGCATAAAAAAATTACAAACGAACTGATGTTGCATAAAAAAAAGATTATAAAGAAACGTTACTAAATTATTATTTTTCAATTACACAATAATTATGGAAATGTGATTTTAATATTTTAAAAATATTTCTATTATCACAGAAGTTAGTTATTATAATTTAATAAATTATATTTCAAAGATATTAAGTTGGAATATAATTTAGAGCAATTATTTATTATTATACGGTAGCTATTTGAACATTTTATATAATTACTTCCTACTATTTATAAAGTTTTGGTTATTACGATAATAATTTCGTTGGTTTCGAGTTCCTAATTCTAACTTTGCCTTATAATGTCAATTTATATCAGACTAGTTGAATCCCACAGCTTCGCCCACGTGTTTACTATTTAAAGTATCTTGTGTTTTAAGTAAAGATATAATCCGTCCGTGCCCCACATTCGTACAGTAGTTTTTGCGTGAAAAAGTAACAAACTCATATCTATCCTTACAAATTTACGCATTTATTTATATTATTTAATAGGGTTTTTAGTACCTTGGCACTTTACCATAGAAAAAAACTTATGCGACTTAAAATAGCAACAAGCTGACGGCCTACCTGATGGAAAGTAGTAACCATCGTCTATAGACATGAAATATACCTATCTATATATCTAAAATATTGTCTATAACCTTGCATCTGGTGAATCATCAGTTTGTTTAACGTTCCATGTTTGTAGAGAATAAAAAAATACAGTATATATGCATTCTGATTTATGAATGATAAAATTATATGACTGATTACTTAACGTATGATAAATCGAGTGCCGCAGATTAATAAATTATGATATTTACATAACAGCATCTTGGCATCTTTATTGATACTAAAGTATGTACATACATACCTTATATAGATAGTGTCTCCATACAAATGCTTCAAGAAAAACGAAAAGGTCATCTTTTTCATACAACTTTGCATGATAAATAGTTATGAGCGATTCCTTCATAACTTCTATATTTATTTTGTTTATAATTTTTGCACCTTTTCAATGCGCAAAACTCAAATAAATAATTAACTATAGATACGTCGTGTACATAAGTATACAGAATATTAATAAAAAAACGAGTCAGATAATTTGACAATTAGCTGACAAATTTGACCTGTTTTTGAGATTCGATGCTCTATCTATATAATCTAAAGTACATACATATATTACTTGACATACGATAGCGTTTGACAATAGCTGACAAATAATCAAAATTTATATTTCATTATGACGAAAGATTTGGCTTTTTATGTGCAATTGTTTTACTTTATAATCGGTTATGTGCTTTTGAGTTTTTACAATAATTATTCAATAAACTTTAAAAATCCTTTCACCAATAGAAAGCTACATTATCAACAAGATAAATGGCTGTGTTTTATTCAAAAAAATACATTTATATATCAACCCGTGCGATGCAAAATTTGTTCAATTAATATCTCAATTGTTGTAGATACTAAATATACAGAATTGTCGGTAAAGATGTTTTTGGCAATTTTTATTCATTCACGTCATCTCTACTAATGGAGATAGGTGGAATAGAATTCCACTCTTTCGAAGAAACGTTGATAAAGACAAGTGCAACTGATCAATTACGTTGCTAATTATAAACCGATTTAATAGTTCATTTTGCAACTTTGATTTTACATTAGTAATTTATATTAATTATTTTGTTCCACGAAAATATACAGAGTTTAATCATGGCAAAACTATTGTATTATATTTTTTTTTATTTAAAACTAAACTAATGAACCGTTTTAATAACATTTCTATAAAGCCAATCTCTAAAATATCCTTTTAGATAAAAAAGAATTATCCAAATCGGTTTATAAACGACGGAGTTATAAGGTAGCAAACATAAAAAATACTACCGATTAGAGAGCTTCACCTTTTTTGAAGTCGGTTGAAAACCATAATACTCATAGAACCCTCTCATCATACTAACGTATAAAATAAGTATGTACATTCCAGCCCCAACCCGCAGGGCCCTTTCATCATTGTTTAGTTATTTAATTAAGGATCAAAAGGTAAACACCCTCAACTGAGCTTTTAGAGCTTCTTCAGAGCTTATTAATTTTCTAAATACAATTAGTTTCATCAAAGTACCTATTTAGGAATTTTCTGTTTTATTATTTTACTATGGACCAGAAGGAGACTTTATACGAAAGTCGTTTGCTTGGGCACCTCTGTCCTATTCGTGTTTCAACTGTGAAGCTGTTGTGTAAGGGTGGAATATGACAGTGAATTTACAGCGTACAAAAGCACACTTTAGTCCTCAGGAATGGTAACGCATGGGGGATATCATGATATTTTATTTGTTATTGGTGACGGGAATTAACGCGATCATTTACGTAAATTATGATAATTTGCCTGAATTATTTCAATGTTTCGATCACGTTGCACCGGCCGTGTTTACCAATAGACTGATGTAGCGCTGTCATGTGTCCGTTTTCGAGGCAGTATTTTTTTCTACCCTCTCTTCCCCCAATCACACAAAATATGACACTATAGTGAGCATCTTTGCACACAACACCAACAGTGTCTTTATGTATTTTATATTGATAATTATTTCATAGCTATTTAAAAATTTAGCTTTTTTAAGTGATTTCCAAAAAGAAGTTTTCAATTCATTTACATTTTTTTTATCAAACATTGACTCGATTTTAATTCCGATTCCTTTCAAAATCGGTAGTTCTGCATGCGTGCTAAGAATTAATTGTTGCAAAATATTTACTATGCCAATACCATATTCATAATTAAAATATTTTCTAATCTAATGTGTCTATGAAAGATTTCGTTCTGTATCGATGTTGTGCACGTAAGGTTCGTATCGAAACATGGTGTCGTAAGAAGTTATTATAATGTAATTATAAATACATATTAATAAAATAGAAACAATAATGTAACAACTAACTAATTATAAAATAAATTTTGTGTATAAAAAAAGAAACAAACAAAGAGTTGCGTCGTGCAATCGAGTCGTCGTAAAATAATGTAAGGTGATTGTCACAATTGACGTAACTGTATGTAACCTGACACCTTATATCAGATTTTATTGAAAATTAGTGCATAGATGCATAATACATACAGACAAAGCTATGAGAAATGGGTATTGAATAAAAAATATGATATAACCATTGACACCTTGTTTTCATATATTTGTTCAAATTTCAAATTTCGGTGACTGTTCAGGGGCAGTAAATTCTAAAGCATTATTGTTAAGGTAAATCCAAAGTAGGATTCAATTCAAAATAATGCTTCGACATCTCGTCGCCCAAATCTCATCTCCTGAGTATGCTCTATGCATAATTCATAAACACAAATGAAGCCCTATTGCATATACCTACATAGAGAGAACTCCACACGAGCCCTCACCGCCTAGTGAACTTTATGCCAAGATTTGATCTACCTAATATAGCATTTAAGCAAATAAGATTACCTACCTACCTACCTTTACGTCTGTAATATTTTTTAATAACTTTTATCTGAAATTAACGATATTATTTAGGTAAACCATAAGAATTTACCTGGATTATCATGACGTTTCGACCACATTACACCGGCGTGGTCACGCTTAAAGTCAAAAATTAATATTGCATTTTATTTACCAATATTATTATTTATTAAACAATGGTATACCTTAATTGATAATGTATTATTGGAAAAATACGTGAACTGTTTTAAAACAATGAAAATAAGTATATTTATTTTAACATTTTAAAATACAAACGCTGCATTCGAAAACCTCAAAAATATTGAATAAAAAATTTGTTACCTTCCAAACAGTACGATACAATAGATTGTATTTGAAATAGATAAATGTTTTATTTCTGTTCCAAGTTTAAAACTTCTGCAGCGATGTTCAATAACATTCTACCGTATCAAATTCGACAGGACGAGTTTAGAACGTAATAAAAAGGATAACCCCTTATAGGGAAGGTTTATGTTCAAAAGTGGACCTTTTTTTTAATGGATAATAATAGAATAGTAATTCCGCTTATGCTAACGGTATACGCTTGTTGGCACCAGTGAGGAATGATATGTGAAAATGAAAAGGAAGGTTAGTTATCTAATCGTGATGAATACACCTGGAATTCAGCACGATGGATTTCAGAGGGAACCACATGCAGGTTAACCTGACATATATTGCTAGCAATGAAACTAGTAGTTCGCTTTACTAACAATCATTTTCCCCCATTAGTGGACAGTTAACGACTAATATAATTGTAAAATAATATAATAAAACAAAATAATATTCTTACTAGTGTAAATTTAAGAAAAGAAATTTAATTGAAATATACAACTCATTCATGAAATAAGGTACCTGAAATTCATTAAATACTTTGTATTTTGCTACTGTAGCAGACTCGCCACGCGATAATACATATAAACCATAATGCGGTTTCCGCTCGTTGAAAATTAATGTTAAATTTATTTAATACTTAAATTATATTAGATATGTCATAAATTAATAAAAAACAAAATCTCTTGCCATGCCTTATTTATTATATAATATAATCGTGAAAAATTTAAACGACTCTTAATACCAACGATTCGTATCCAGTTATATCAACAGCGCCTGCCTCCAATACTTGTCTGGAAAAAAGAGAAATTTATTTATTTTATTTTTTATTGTTCACAGTTTGTGTAATAAAAAAATAGATTTGCTTATATAAAATGGTATTACATGGTAATGTATAAATCATCATCATCATGTCAGCCGTAAACTGTCCACTGCTGAACATACTCGTAGGCCATCCTTCGACCATTAAATTTGCATATTTGTCACTTACGACACTAACGGGAAAGAAAGGGATGAGCCATTCTATACCGCAACCACACGGTATAGAATAAGGTAGCCAATGGGCTAAGGAAATGCTTCCCTTCTTTTCTCGTAAGCAAATCGTGCAAAAGACTTTTAGAAGAGACAATTTAATTGATTTTTTTTTTAAATGTTATGCATTTTGATGCGTTAAAAAGAAGATATTTTATATAAATCCTATTACTATAAAAACCGTATATATATTATCATATTAGGTAGACATAACATTCTTTATTTATTAAATATTATGATTATTAGCCTTTAAAATGTTATTTTTTTTTTTTTAATTCCATATATTAGGTACATATAGGTTTACTAGTGTAATCTTTTGCAAGAAACTACACAGAGTATCTATCTATAATTTATGTGTGTTAATCCTTATACAAAATTAAAAAATTTACCCAGCAGTTTTCGGCGATTGTATACTGCTGACAACGACTTCTAGATTTCCAACAACGTTTTCGAAATATGTTAAATCCACATTATATGATTTATTTCTGAGATTAATTATTATTACATAGTTGACGCCGTTGTGCCATCTGTAATATAAACAAAATTATAACCAAATATTTAGTAATAAATTATATTTAAATAATAAATATTTTTCTACGCTCATAAATAAATAATTTCAATACATTCGTTAATACATGTAAAAAAATTGTATTCAAATACGAGTACTTATGAAAAAAACCTATTATAATATTTATTACAAATTTAAAATGTTGTAATTTCACGACCTTGACATAGTTGTTTGTTGATAATAACCTTAAAAACATATTGAACCAGATAATTATCAAAATGATAAAATGAAGATAAAAAACTTTTCAAATAACAAGAGCAATTTATCTCAGATTAAGTCATGTTATTGCATAACATAAATTCATATGTTTACTAAAAATTTTAACAAACTTACATAATACTACATATTGTTAATACATAGTATTTCTACACGAAAACAAAAGAAAAATAATATTCTTAACATTCCATATATTTATCTACTTTAAAAATGTTATATAAAATATCTAATTTTTTTCTAATAAAATAAAATACGTGCACCTATAATTTTCTAAAACAAAATCTATCTTCAGAAAAGCATCTCTTTATCATTATTTTCAAACTTACTTCTACTCTTTTTTTATATTATATGAGTTTCTCTGACTAAAAGTCTATGCCAAAGCTTTATCAACAACATTTAATGAGCCTACTGTTTTCCCATACAAATACTATTTAAATTTAAAATAATAACTAATTAATATTCTAATTACCTTCTAAAAGCAAAAATATCAGAATTCAGAGCAACAGATTCGTATCTGCCGTATCTGAAAGTAGATTCTGCGCGCAAAAGTACAAGGGTTTTATACACGTTAAGATGTGATCTCTCTACGCCCTTTTGTACTTCCACGTTTAAAGTTTCATAACCATCAGCAACAGGAAGCCAAGTCTTATCTGCTGTAGAAAATCCTGCAAAAAAAAAAAACAAATGATTGATAGAATGTTCAAACTCAATATTTTGTTATTTATTTTATTTTATTTCTCTCTTATTATGTTAAGTATATCATTTAAACTTAGTTCTAAGACACCCACATTAACTTGCTATACCTGCATTTTTATCGGAGTTCCACTGGAAAGGTGTTCTTTCTGGGTCTCTAGATGCAGTCCAGTAATTTATTGGGTCATCTGTATTACATCCACTGGGATCTACAGTATCTTCCCAGCTCACAAATCCATCAACCATACCAATTTCTTCACCCTGTAAGATTTTTGTACAATGATTATAATTAGGTATAACAACAATTTACTATTTAAAATGAGCCAATTCTTATGCATTATATAGATATACTTTGTTTCGTGGTATATAAAAAAAAAAGATAAAACATACCATGTATGTAACTGCTATTCCAGGAAGTAAAAGTACAATCATGTTGATACCATCAACCAACTCTGGGCTAAATCTTGATGCAACTCTATTGTTGTCATGATTACCGGCCTAGAATAAAAAAATATAAATATATGATACATAAATAAAGTATATTAAACATGGTGAAATGAAAAACATTGTGTTAAAAAATTGTATGATGAGTGAAATTTTATCATTTTTCAGAAATTGACATATCTAGCTGTTACCTGGGAGGCTCAAAAATTTTTGTATAATTATTTTTCGTTTTATTTTTTTTAATAAAAATGCATTTACTGGTACTTATTACAACAAGATAGTGATGAATGCAATTTTATTATTTAACTATATAAATAAATTAGAAGAAAATATATCATGATACATACTACCCAGTTTGCAAGTTTGTTGATAGGCTTGAAGGTTAAAAATTTATCTAGAGCATATTTGATTTCTTCAGCTGTCGAGTCACCATTAACATCAGATATGAGTACAAAGTTAAATGGCATTTGAGCACCTTCACGTTCGCCATCACCAAAATATCTCATGGTCACTTGAGGGCTAGAATAAGCTTCCGTCATCATAACTCTGCTGAAGCCATCTCTTTCTTTGAATTCATCAAGTACTTCTCTCCATTGATACACCATGTCAAATGTCTCGTCTTGATCAGATGTGTAAATATGTCTTAAGTAATTGTAACTCAATGGATCAGCATTTAAGTCTCCAGACAGTGGCTCATCTGGATATTTCCCACCGTATAATTCTTTATCTACTTCAAACAAATGAGTAATAGCGTCTACTCTAAAGCCTGCAACACCTTTTTCTAACCAAAAACGTATGACATTTTTCATTTCATTAACCACTTCAGGATTACGGTAGTTGAGATCAGGTTGACCAATCACGAATTGATGCAAATAATATTTGCCTACTTCTTCTCTATACTCCCAAGCACTCTTGCGGAAGACACTGATCTGTCAAAATATATTAATATATATGTACATATATACATGTATATATGTATTACATATATTAGATCTCTTATAATTATAGACAGAAATATATTTAAAGCAAGCGCGTAATTTAATGGAATCTCTTTTAATTCGAATACGATACAAAGGCATCGGGCTTAAGAAAATTTATAAATATAAAATTCTTTAGAAATGAATCTAATATACTCGTAACATAATGTACTATCTATCTTTTTAAATGCCTTGCTAAATTTCTGTAACCACCATATCATATCAGCCGTTAATTACATATATACTACAGAATAGGCCTTCCTCAAAACAGGGGTTTTGCCAGAAGTTGCTTGGCAGGCAGACAAGCAACCGCAGTTAGGCTTTGGTCATCTTTAAGAGGGACGCTGCTGCTCAACCCTCGACTATTATAACTTCCCTTAGTCGCCTTTTACGACGTCTACTGGAAAAACAGAGAAGGCCCAATCTATACCAGGACCACACGGCAACTGGCTAAACATTTTTCTGTTATTGTAAAATAGAATATATATTAATCAAGATAAAATATTTAAGATTTATTTTTAATAATACAATAAATAAGTACTTACCCAATTATTTGGAGGTTGTAATACTCCATTTTCATCTACCACGCCATCTTCCCATACAAAATAATCTAAATATTTTTCATGACCTCTTAGTGCTTCTTCGAACCATACACTTTCGTTGCTTCCGTGGTTTGGAACAAAATCTAACACTATTTTAATATCTGCACAGAAAAATGGTTTGCATATAATGGGCAAGTTTATTTATTAGAGTGTATTTCAAAATGTGTAGTTATATATTTACCTAATTCGTTTGCTTTGGCTAGAAGTCTCTCAAAATCTTCTATAGTACCATACTCATCCTGAATATCATAGAAGTCAGATATATCATATCCAAAATCGTACATAGGTGACTTAAAAATCGGCGAGAGCCATGTTGCGCCAACACCAAGTTCTTTCAAATATTCCAAGTTTTCAGTAATTCCTGTAAAATGTTATACATGGCATTAATTTTACCCATTACGTCAATAGATATAAAATATTTATTAATATGTTAATTAATTTATATTAATTATCACCAACACCATTTTTACCTAATGCTTAGCTCGTAAAGAATGCCATTCGGGTTTACTCTCTACTTGTACAAATTTTATTGTGCAATAGAGAATAAATAAATAAATGAACAAATAATTTAAAATTCAATTAAATCAGCAAAATTCATTATTATTCCATTAATTCCAATTATTACCGTTCAAATCACCAATTCCATCGCCATCGCTATCCTTAAACGACCTCGGATAGATTTGATAAAAAACTGTCGTCTCCCACCATTCTAATTCTCTTTCCTGACATTGAACTTGTCCTAAGAGGAACAATAAAGGCAAAATGAAGTACAGCTTCATTTTGCTAAATCTGTAATAACAAATTGAAATACAAAATTAAAAATGCATGACAAAACGAATAATAATTTTATTAATTAAAGCAAGAATTTGATAGTGTATTTATAATGGAATTGTATGGTCTTATATGTATATTTATCGATCATTTTACTAATACAATTTAGGACACGTCAGATTGCCTTATTGCTTTTAACTAATGCCTCAATTAAATAGCAATCATGCAACAATCAAGGAAGGACACATCAACGAATATAACAATCTATGTAAATAATCAATGTTACTCCATTGATGGGTTGCCTTCGCTTCCACCGCAACCTATATACAAATTACAATTAAAATGTTATAAAATAAATTGTATTTATTCTTAAATAACAGAATAAATGATCCATTTGTGAGGTGACGTGTACACGGACAATAAATAGACAAACAAACAACACATAGTCGACTTATTTCTGGCAGCTGTTTAATTTTCTTATACGGGTAAATATGAATGTACGTTATGAGTAAGAAAGTACGTAAGAGAGAGTATAAGAGAAATTAATTTCACCATGTTGGTATTTACTTAATAAATTAATATTATAGTACATTATTAAACTAATATTATATACAGGCTGTGATCGTAACATCGCTCATGTGGTGATTATTTTTTTTTTTATATATGAATATATAAAAATGGAAAATGACATTTCACTATAATAAAATGTCCTCAGTCAAAGCAAATATTACATTATCAATTACACTACATCTTATCAAAATTTGTCTAGTAGTTTTTACGTGTAATATTCAAGTACAGATACGGTCTAGTAACAATATATCGAAATCCATTAAAATTTTGTGTTTTAAAAAAAAACATTTGAAGCAATGCTATCAAAACTTGAGAATATTATTCCCATATTATAATAGTGTTTTTCTATATAATAATAAAATAAAAATTGACAGATATGTATTATTTGGCAACTTACCCCGTGATAGTCCGTTTAAAATGAATAGTTCGTCTTTAGTACACGTCTCTTATTTATGGTAAAATCTTCAGATAAGATCCAGATAATATGTTGATTAAAATGTCCCAAGAGGCTTTTTATCGCTATCTCGTCTTACCAATATGAGCGAAACAATCGAAATAATCCAATTTTATAGATAAATAAAAACACACATCTTTTTTATCTATATACATATGTTTATTTCCAAATCTTAGCATTATTTTTTAAATATTTCATGTCTTTTTAAAATAAAAATATTTTTAAGATCTTTAATTATAAAAGATGTATTTAATCAAAAATTAAAAAAAAAAATCATTTCAAATGTTATTGAATGATTATATGTACTCCCGGAAAAAGTATTTAAAATCCTAATATTATATTATCAATCACATATTTATTCCTATAACAATACTAGTTTTTAACCGCAATTTCATTCTTGTGACTGGGACATATGAATTTATCGCAAATACTTATTATGCTTGTATTTTTTTATAATACTAATAATAGTAAAAAAAGCTAACGACCCATCTTTCATAAACTGGAAATCCTTATCTTTAATCATGAACATAATAAATGTTATGGTATTTATTCCATTGTATATAATTTAATTATTTCATTTGTTAAACAATTGAGCCCTTAAGGCACCAATATATAACAATTAAACTCACATTCAGCTTCATTCAGTAAATAAAAATGCAATATTTTATAAAATCAATTACGCAGAACAATAAAAATTAAAGACTCCTTTATTAGTGGAAAAACAAGCTCGAAGTTAAAATTCCTTTGGAAGTTAAAAAAAGTGGCTGAGCGATGAAGTTGGTCGCATAGAAAGTTTTTCAAGAAATACGCTCCGTTAGCCATCTTAAGAAAGATGAAGGTTTAATTGTAAAAATGAATTTTCACCTTTGTAATATTATTTCTCATAGTTGTACTCTCGACTCTATTCGCGCGAGTACGACATATCGATTGGAAAAATGAAATAAAATGTAGTTTACGTACTTCTCTATACAAAAATTCATGATAATTATATTAAAGGCTCATTATATGCCTATATTTAATAAAGATATTTTCACATTTATGACATTAGTAAGGATTCTTAACGTCATATCTAGGTACTAGTAGGGGTAGGTGAAGAAAATCAAATAGCGGAGGTCTCTGTCCTTACATAATACGTTTACTTCCTAACTAAGTATTAAAGTAGAATCAAATCAAGTACATAATAGCTATATCCATTAGCCATAATACGTACATCCATTAATTCCTACATCCATTAGAAAATGTAACTTGTAATCCTAAGATTCCACAATCTAATAAGAAGATTAACAAGTTCTTATCTCAAGGCTGTACTAAAATAAGTACCTACCACTTACTAAAACACTTTAATTAGTTCATCCTCTCTGAGGTAAAGCCACGCAGGTAGAAGTTTCGAAAAGTCTTTTTATTTATATACATATAAGAAGTAAGCGTAGCGTGACTTGTATTTATTTTCGACCGACATCAAAAAAAGGAGATTGTATATATTCGGTGGTATATATTTCATTTTATGTTTGTTACCTCATAACTACGTCAGTTGTAAATCGATTTAAATTATTCATAAAAAATCTTATTGTAGGTTTAAAGGGCTCTCTAGCTAAAACGTCAAATTATACTATTAAACGTTTGAAATTTATAACAAAAAAGATTTAACGTTGTCACCTATAATGCTATAGTGCGTTTATGAATAACAGTTTTTGGTATTAAAAGCTTATGATAGCTTTATAATGGATTTAAAAATCATCTATATCTAACGTTTCTGTTAACTTTTTCTGAATAATAATTTTTTATTATAATTTGAAAAATGAATATTTGATGTTGTTACCTATAATGATATAGTGCGTTTATGAATAACATTTTTTGTTTTTACAGGTTTAGGATAGATTTATAATGTATTTAGAGATTACTTAATCTAACGTTGCTATCAAAAATTACAGCAGATTTATTATATATTAATAAATAAAGATTATTATTTTAAAATTTGAAAAAAAAAGGATTAATGCTGTCACCTACAATGATATATTGCATTTATGAATAACACTTTTTGGTATTACAGTTTTAAGATAGGTTTATAATGGGTTTAGAAATCATTTGTACCTTATTATTGGACAGTTACGGTAGAATATTTATGAAGATTTTTGTACACATATTATTTCCTTGTTATTGAGAGCTTATAACGGGTTGATAATTTTTATGAATAAGATGGTTACAATAAAGTATTAATTGGATATTATCATTATATTCGGCTACCCTTACATAAATATTACACAAATATACCTACATGTATTAAAAACATGTTTAACAAAATAAAATGTACGTATTTGATATAATCGCATTAAAATTATTTCATTTTACTTAAAAATATTTCGTCAAGCAAATATTTCTCAACGTTGGATACCTCTGATCCTCTCGCATTTATGCGATGAAACAGTAATATTTGAATGGCTGCGTTTCGAGTTCAAAAATAGAATATGGCACTATCACATCTTATGTTGTTTATTACTGACCACCGAGGTTTAACATCTTTATCTTAAGGGAAGATAACGGGAGAAGGATGTCATGGGTTTTACAGCGTATTATGTTTACTGTTCAACATATAGGCAACGTTTACTACATCACATCATGTAAATTGTTGGCTTATTTGCAATTGTAAATTCTATAAAAAATATAAATAACTCCATGTTATGTATTATAATTACATAGAAAAGATTATTTATTATATTTATTTGAAAAAGCGGATACTTTTAGATGTCAGGTTATATCGAAAATATACACAAGCAAATATAGTCCTTAAAGAGATTTTCTTTCAGTCAACTTTGAGAATTCGAAAGGGGAAAGTATATATAGAGTTCACATAAAAAGCATATCATATATGGTGTAAAAATAATATGATAAATAATAAACTATACTATTAATAAATATATAAATAGTAACTGGATTTAGACACAATTTTCATAAGTAGACCAAGCATACATATCTGAGCTAAATGTATCTATAAAGATAGTATCTATAAAGAAAACTCTTAATATAGAGTTATTTCATATCATTTCATCTATAATATAAAGGATCAAACAGAAAGAAATAACCTCTGGTTCAACCCTTTTAAGAGATTCTTTTTATTATTAATTTCCTAAATAGATCAAATTACAAAGATATTCGCCACAAATATATAGACATACTCTTTTTAATATATGATGTTTTATTTTATACGCTTTTTACTTTGTCTTTGGTACTAATAATTACTCTGCACTTGATTTGGCCAAATGTTGTCTCTATTTTAGAGCGAGTAAGATCGATTTTCGATTGATTAGTCTGTTAGTTGCGTCCCTAGATAATAACTGTACCCAAATTCTAGTGCTTATAATATACAAACAGTCAAACTGAGACTTACATCAATAACTCAAAGATGAAGTTAATCAAATTTTAGATTGAATTCCAGTCTTTCTCTACACTGGAATTTGAGATAACAATCTTGGACAGGGGAAATTATCAGGAAAATAGAAACGCGTACAATCCCTGTGATTCTATATTTTTTTATTGGTATCATAATTAATTTACATTATTATACAAAGTAAAATAAACATTATAAAATACAATAGTTTACAATACTATTATTTAAAGAACCCAGTGGTTGTTTGTAAAACTACTCCTTCATAACCAGCCACAGGGAAGGATGTAGCGCTGAAGGTATCTCTGAAAAGAAGAATAGGTAATGTTTATTTCACGTTGGCAACATATCATATTATATTAATTACGTTATGACACTGTAAATAGTATATATTTTGAAAAAGACCAAAACTTTTAGAACGATCCTACGATATGACCCATTTGTAAGATTATATATTTTGTAAATGTAAATACACTACTTAATTATTAGTATTTTAATTTTAAATAATCATTTATATTATTAAACAAGGGAGTATGATTTAAATCGAAACATTGTTTATAATTAGCTCTTTTCTGCGATCTAATGAATCCGTTTTCTCCCTTTATTTTTTTTTTATACCACTGAGGTGGCAAACAAGCATACGGCCCACCTGATGGTAAGCGGTTACCGTAGCCTATGAACGCCTGCAATACCAGAGGTATTACGCGCGCGTTGCCGACCCTGAAGAAACCTCTTTACCCCCTTTTGAAGAACCCCATGCTGTAGTCTCTCGGGAAAACCTCGGCAGGGAGCTCATTCCATAACCTGAGTGTTCGTGGGAGAAAGCATCTCTGAAACCGCGTTGTACGCGACCATTTAGGCTGTAAGGTATGAGGGTGAACTCCCTGCCGATGGCGAGCCGTACGATGATGGAAAGTGGCCGTAGGCATCATATTGAATAATTCCTCTGAGCACAATCCGTTGTATAAGCGGTAGAACACGCAGAGTGAGGCAAAATCTCTCCTAAGACTTAAGGGTTCGATACCGCTTGCAAGCATGGGATCATCGACAATTCTCATAGCTCGTCGTTGCACTGAGTCGAAGGGTTCAAGCTGGTATCTAGGTGCTCCCGCCCATAAGTGACAGCAATACTCCATATGGGGCCGGATTTGCGATTTGTAAAGCATTAGTCGCTGATCCGGCGTGAAGTAATGCTTCGCTCTATTGAGCACACCGAGTTTTTTGAAGAAGAAAATTGAAGAAGAAAACAAACAAATTTAAAAATATTATGTTTCTATATTCAAATATTTCAGGTGTTTATTAATAAATGAATTAGTTTTTATTTTCTTTTGTCTTCTGTATAGGTATAGGACTAACAGTTTTCTATAGTTTTTTTTCCCTCAAACCGATAATAGCCTAATTACTTGGGAATTATTTATTTTACTTTAATACATTTATACAACGCACAAGGTGATATTCATTATGGCATATATCCATGCATTATCCCCTGTCTTTTTTAATATTAATGTTTCTATTATTTTTAATAAGAAGTATTATAAGGTTTCTTTTTTTTATTTTTCTATTTATTATTTATTTACCTACTAGTCAACCATAGGCAGAAATAAAAATATACCCAACGATACAATTCAATCTATTACAAATCATCACGCTTTATGTTAAAAGAAACCTTTGTCCAAAATTTTGTGATTCCAGATCCATACTTATGCTCTGCGTTGATCGATTAGTCAATTTCACATTTAGAAATAGATTACTTACCCCTCCACCTTGGGCGATTGAACACTTGACAATACGACTCGCACATTTCCGAAAACATTTTCGAAATAAGTCAAGTCCACTTCATATTGAGTATCTCGCATATTCACTACTACTAAATACACATTTCCATTGTACCGCCTAAAAATTAACATGATTTTGTAATCAATAATAATATAAAATTAAATACCTATTTCATTCATATTGCGAATTTTCACCATATAGTTTATGCCTAAAAATTTGTATAAAAAAAAACTTAGTGAAGTAATATGGATTAAGAGAAAAAAATAGACAAAAAAATTGAATTATCTGTATTTAAATATATGAAAAAAACAGTTGCATAGAGCATTTAAAAGCATACGGTGAAAATTTTAATATAGGTAAGTGCAATTCTAAAAAAGAGTAGATTAAGTTTGGTAAAAAAAAATCATATGTTAAAACTAAAGAACTAAAACAGAAAGAAAAAAGAAATATAGTTAATAAAATAATTGTAACTCAATATGAATAGTCATCCTATTTCATATCTATGAATCTGAAACCAAACATTACCTTTGGAAGGCAAATACATCATTGTTAAGAGCTAGAGACTCATAGCGTCCGTATCTGAAAACGTCTTCTTGACGAAGTTGAGCAAGTGCCTGGTAAATCTTCAAATGAGATTTATTTGCAGCTCTTTGCGCTTCAACATTCAAAGTCTCATAACCATCAGCAACTGGCAACCAGGTTTTGTCGGCCGAAGAAAATCCTATAAACAAGAAATACATCTTCAATAGAAAAAAAGCCTCATTCTTTATTCAATTTGACAGACAAATACAATAATTACTTCCTACTTTTTTCATTTTTATTCAAGTAGTATTATCGATTTTTTTTAATTATAACTTACCAGCATTTTTTTCAGCATTCCATTGGAATGGTGTACGTTCTGGATCTCTGGATGATTCAACATAGTTAATCGGGTCATTGGTATTACAACCGGCAGGATCAACGGTATCTTCCCAGCTCACGTAACCATCTACCATACCAATTTCTTCACCCTGTAACATTAATAAATTAGGTATTAAAATAAACTATTCATTATGTTAGATCATGAGAATAATAAACTGAATAATGTTTTTTCTAGTTCATAAAAATATTGAACAAATTAAAACAAATCGTTTAATACCTATTTTTCTTTTACTTATTATAAAATTAATTCTGGTTTAGTTAAATATAAAATCTCTGATAATGGAAGCATAACGTACAAAATAAAAATTTTACTATCACATTTTTTTTGGTATATATATTTAACTGACGCTATTGTAAAAAGTGTCATAATTTAGTTTTATTATCTTAACTACGGTTATATTCTATTTACACATTATTAAAATACGAATATAAGACTTAAATAGATACCATATAAGTGACTGCAACTCCTGGCAGCAATAACACTATCATATTAATTCCATCGACTAACGCTGGACCGTATCTGGTAGCCATTCTACTTCTGTCGTGATTTCCAACCTTAAAATTATAATAATATAACATTAATAATAATATAACATTTGCAGTAAATGGATAAAAATTGGAAGAAAATCATGTTTTACGTACCACCCAATTGGCATGCTTATCTACAGGTTTGTAGGTTAAAAACTTATCTACAGCGTACTTGAAGTCGGCAGCGGACCCTGTTTTATCTACATCAGTGATCAAATCAAAATTGAAAGGCATTTGAGCGCCTTCTAGATTTCCATCACCAAAATACCTTACAACATCTTGAATTGTAGAATAGACTTCTGTCATCATAACTCTAGCTAACCCATCATTTGCTGCAACCTCTTCAAATACATCTCTCCATTCATATACCATATAGTAAGTTTCATTTCTGTTTCTTGTATAAATATGAGTAAGGCTGTCAGGATGTCCTGGGTCTAAATCAATTCTACCCGAAGGTGGTTCGTCAGGATATACTCCTCCGAAAAGCTCTTTGTCCACTTCAAACAAACAATTAATAGCATCGACTCTAAATCCGGCAACGCCTTTGTTTAACCAAAAACGAATGATGTCCTAAAACAAAAATAAAATAGTAACAATTGTTGTATCCCACATTTTTGTCCACGTAAATCAGGATTAGTAAATCAAAATATAATCTATCTGGTATACTAAATTTCATTGAATTCTATACATCCACTTATCTTCGTGTTTATATGTACCATATGTAATAATTAATTTTACATGTACTACACATGTAAAATTAAATTACGGTTATAATCCATTAAGCATATTCTTTTCTAAACGACTGGCAGCATATCTGCAATTTTTTTGATATTAACACCCCCATGGGCGGACATTATTATTTACTATCTATTGACACGCATGTTGATTTACCCCCTTCGTTATAAAAAAAAATTTACTTACCTTCATTTCTTGAACAACATCTGGATTGCGGTAGTTAAGATCTGGTTGGCCAATAACGAATTGATGTAAATAATATTGACCAACTTCTTCTCTAAACTCCCACGCGCTTCCACGGAAATGGCTTATCTAAAAGCAACAGTTTAAAAATATATAGATTTAATTAATAAATAGGATAAGCTATTAACGTAACTTGAAGGAAATTAAAAATATCTATAAATTAAATAACATACCCAGTTGTTCGGAGGTTGTCTATTACCATTTTCATCAATGACTCCATCTTCCCAAATGAAATAGTTGTAATACTTTTCATTGCCTTTAAGTGCTTCTTGAAACCATACACTTTCGTTGGATGTATGATTAGGTACGAGATCAAGAACGACTTTTAGACCTAGATTATAAACAAAAAGCATTTATCACATTATCCACTTTACTTTTATTATTTTTTACATTTAAAAGCACAATGAATTTACTTACCTAATTCGTTAGCTCTATTAAGAAGATTGTCAAAATCTTCCATAGTACCAAATTCATCGTGAATTGCGTAAAAATCAGAGATATCGTATCCAAAGTCATACATTGGTGATTGGAATATTGGTGATAACCAAATAGCTCCAACTCCAAGTTCTTTTACGTACTCTAACTTAGATGTAATTCCTAAAAAAGAGATAAAAACAATTTATAAAATGAAGTATGGTGTATTTATTTAAACAAAGCAGCTAACCTACTTTTTAAATGAATATACGCAATGCCATCATTTCTTATTTGTAACCTTGTTTGTAAATGTTATTGAATATTATTGTTGCTGTCAAACATTAAATTTTTTCTTGAGTTTTGAGTAACTTTTGTAACATAGTTGTAAGTATATATATTTCAATGCTTGATGCATTGAAATATATATACTTAATACAATAATAATAATTTAAAAAAAAATTAAAATTATACGTATTTACCTTTAAGATCTCCAATTCCATCGCCATCACTATCAGCAAAGGATCTTGGATAAATTTGATAAAAAATGGTTTTCTCCCACCATTCTTGTTCATTAGCTCCCGTTATACCATCACTAAATAGTGTTATAAGTAATGGTAATAAAAATACCACCCGCATTGTAAATTCACCCTAAATTCTGAACAAGAACTATTGAATGATTATTTGAAAACTGACATTTTATACAATTTGGTATACTATATATACTCATCTCACAATTATCATTCATCAATAAATCTGATAAGATCAGATGGTGGTCTGAAGATAAGATTTTAAGACATGTTTATAAGACAATTTGTCATGTAATGTCGGCTTTTTAAGTTTACTCTAGGGAGCAACAATGTACTATTTACAATCTTAAACTGATTTAAAAAACTTTCTCTAATTGTTTAGTTAAAAATTATATTTATTTAAAAAAAAATTTGGTAAAAATAAATTTTAAAAAGTACTTATTCAAATTCATTGATAGTACATCATCATCAATTTAGCCTGTCTATCCATTGCTGTATATACTCGTAAACCTTTCCTAAGACCTTCTATCATGCGCGATCCTTCGTTTTTCGTTATCATCCAATTCCAGCAGTTTTCTAAATGTCCTCGGTCCATCTGGAAGAAAGGCGTCACACGCTCCGTCGTCCTTCCTTTCCCCTTCTTCATCTTTTACCATCGCTAGCTTATCAAATATGGCCGGATCACAGCCGTTTTAGCTACCTATGTCAACTACTTTAGTTCTCCGTCGAAACGCCTCATTCCAGGTCATGTCTCTTAGAGAAATTCCAAGCATAGCTCTCTCTGTGTGCAACTTTGTGCAACTTTTAATTTATGGACCAGCTTCAGGAATCTACACCGTAAATCATGGCGGGGAGGACACATTGGTGATGATTAATAGTATATCAATTAACTAAATTAGATAAGTACATAAATTAATTTAAATTCTTGCTATTTAATGCTTTTCCTTGGTAAACATTTACTCGAGAACAGGTAAATAAAAGCTAATCTTTATTCAATCAAATATGGTTTTAAATTGAAGTCCGATTAAAGTCTTTAAAGGAAAAAAAACACAATTTAGACTAGACAACGGCTGTCGAATCAGATGGTCAACTAGTCTATACTTATAAAGAGGCAAAATTCACTGCTGTCTGTTTGTAACAGATAAACTTAAAAACTGTTCAGCCTTTTAAAAATTCAAGTAACATAAGTTATATATTATTTTCAAATACATTAAATATTCCTATGAAAGTATGATCATGCCACCTATATGTATTAATTTTTTTTCTATTAAAGCTAATATTAAATTATATCAATTTATCTTTCTATCTACTCATGCAAAGCCAGAAACAAATTGTTAGTTATGAATAAATTCCTGAGAAAATTTCAATGAATTCAGATGCAAATGTGAAAAGCATAAAACCAGATATATAGAAAGAACTCTTTAACTCTTACTATTTGGCGTTTGGTTCAAGTTTTCCGGCTTTATCCTCTTAGTCATCACAATGACCCATTAACGTTCCAATACGAACGCATCGTATCCCCATAACAGGAGGATATTAAATTACTATTACACTGCTGTCCAAGCAGCTCAGTACTTATACGGTTTTGTATACTTAAATACGTTGCTATACTGAAGTAAAATTAATGGATAAAATATATTCTTCACTATGTTATGGCATAAACATCTTTAAAGAATAATTTAGGTGCTTCACATATTGAACAGCAACGGTTACCACTCAGTACGTAAAGGAGCATCATGAAACTAACTTTTTAAGATAAATTTTATTTCACAAAAAATTATTTCATTCGGGGTAAATACAATAAAATCTCTCAAAATTTATTTTTTGATCTCTTTGCATCCTATGAACTGTTTCATTTTGAAGTGCCGTATACATAGCATTTAACTAGCCAGCAAGAATATATGCACTGTTTGATATTGATGGAAAATTTTGAACTATCTGACATTAGTGATGTTTCTAAAGGAATACCAAACTGACAGATAAGATAATCAAAATTATAGAGAAAATCTAAGTACTTCCTCTAGATATTTTTTAATAGAAGATAATGAAATGATAACTCCGCCTGATCTATCAATGTACACTGACGGGAAACCAGTGATAGATAATGGGTGAGGATCAAAGCAGGTCAACTGGGTTAACTGGTGGGACTGATTCATCAAGAAAGAACCACAACTGTTTCTTACAGTTTTCTTCTGAATGTTTCATATGTATAAAAAAATATACAACATTGCAGTTAAAATTGTATTTATTTATTATATATAAATATATCAAATAATTAAGTGAAGTGAGTAATTAAATTCTCAGATCTGCATTCTGAGTACTAAAGCTTCGTCTGCGGTGAGATCTAAATAATTGGCTTGAACATTATCACTGGAAATTAAAATAATTATCGTTATTATATTATTTATGTTTAGTTTATTAGTTATATATATTTATATATAAATTAATAAGTTAGAAATTTACTGTATTTTTAATAATCAATAAAATTTTCTCCCATTTTGCACGCATGCAGGTTGAGTAGTTTTCCAAATGATATTTACTAAGAGTAAAGTTTCCAAATTAATTAAATATTGTAGATAGATCCATTCAAGTCATACAAACTGCTAATCTTTTTATGTACTATTTCTGTGCAAGAATTTCAAACCATATGAGAAGCATATTAGGCTACTAACACTACGCTGGCCAAATAGCTCGATATAGATTTCTCGTCTCCTTCTCTTGCTCTATATATATATATATATATATATATATATATATATATATATATATATATATATATATATATATATATATATATATATATATATATATATATAAGGATATATATATATATATATATATATATTTATTGTTCCCTTAGCTGCGACCTCTTTAGGATAAAATATATCTAGTTAGTATAAAAGGGGATTTATAACTCATGTATTAACACAGTCACACATTGTAGAATCTGTATTTAAGATTAACGCACGATTCTCACTGCCTACCCCAAAAAGGTTCACGACGTGAAGATGCAATAATTACCTGTAAGATCTCGATGACAGAACACTGCTCGCTTCTACTTCCAATTGCCCGAAAACTAGATCGAAAGCTGTCAAATTAACAACGTGGTATGTTTTACCAACGTTCATTACGATCACGTAAGTATCATCGTTGTACCATCTGCAAATACAAGTGGTTAACCTTATCGTTTATCATGCATCTACATCTCATCATATACTTTTAACAATGAAATCACGTCTGCTGAGTGTGAACTACACAGTTGTAGAAACCAAATTTTTCCAAATCTTTGCTAGTGTAACATTTATCAATTTATGTTATGTCAAAACATTTTGTGTTAACACCTGCTGTAGTTTAATAGAGATTTGACAGTTATTAATGAAAAAAATGTGTTAAAAATATGGATGATGAATTTTACTTTTATTTTATTTTTATAAGGACGAAAAAACCTTTTATATAACTTTTTTATTTATGAGCCGATTGAAATAAAACAAACACTACATATTAAATGGAGCAAACCGCAATGCATTAGTATTTTAATCTGTATTCAAATTTATCAATTAAGCCGTTTCTGAAATTAACGTGCATAAACATACAGATAAACAAACAAAAATTCTAAAAATCATTGTATTGGGTTCTATTGTGTTCATAAAGCCCCTCTATAATAGATTTTTTTTATATATCTTCCATATACAAAAAACGACCAGTTACGATTTTATTATATCTATTAATTCATTAGATTCTCATGATACTGCTCATATCTATGTGCAACGGTTACCACTTTCCATCAGGTGGGCCGTCAACTTGTTTGCCATTCTAAGTTGAATAAAAAAAGAAAAGGACTATATTATTTTTGTTGTTATAGTATATATATCGTAAAGAACATAATATTATAGATAACGAAGACCTACTTGAAGTGTGTGCATTTAACGATAGAGTGACATTACATTTTGACGTATACTCGTACTCGATGTTACCTTTTGATATAACCCACATTTTTTTTATAAACAACAATTATGACTAACAATAGCAACCAAATACAATTTTCCACTTCGCAATATTATTGATAAGTAAAAGATATGGTAACAATATATTATGTCATGGAAACAATACTATATTGTGATTTTATCAGTTAAAGGTAAAAAGGAAGTTACACAAGAGGATTCTCCAAAATGTGATAATATTGATGATAGGAACTTTTTAGGAATTTGGGGAAATTTTTATTTACTTGAAGGTCATACAAAAATGTTTTTCTTTTTATTATAGCATGATATGCGACCATACCATCCTGAGCAAATATAGAGACAATATGGAGCGTTAATACTATTAACCGAAAAGAGAATTATTTACTTTCAGTGGTTGACTGCACTATACCGGCTGTACTAAGTGCTTTTTCACGCTACATTTGAAGGATAGATGGATACTTTTTAAGGATCCGATGTTATGGAATAAAGGAAACACGTCCTGAGAAAGTCATTTCATATTGTTATGGTACCGTTCACATAAAAGTTGGCAAATTTATTTGTACGCAAGCGCGGACGGCCGACCGTGTATGGATGCATTTGCTGGTCCATTCTCGTGGAGCGAAATCAGAAATGGGAAGGTAAAATAAAAGAATGAAGTTCTTCTGAGTATTCCTCATGGAACAGATGATAGAAGACACTGAGAGAGGCTACAGAAATGTAGCCTCTACAAAATTGTAAACTCCAGTTTAAATTTAAATTCACAACATGTTCTTTACTTATGTAAAGATTTAAAAATGTTTACAATGCATCTCAATCAATCAAATCTACTTAAACATAGCAAATGTGAATTTATTTCTTTGTTTGTTTCAACCAATCGTTGTGAAATTTTACACAGGTACATATACTTATTTGAAATGGAGAAAAATAAACTATTTTTATCCTGATGAATCAACATACCTCAGCCACGCGGACAGATTATCGGTTAAAACTACCTACTACGAATTAACCCATTACGAATGAATTTACACTTTAATAGATCCATTGGATAGGAGTCAAATGTTCATTAATGTATCATCTAACAGTATTCTTAGCGTAGCTGCAAATATACTCAGCCCAAATAGCTCGATCTAGATACAAATACCATTGGATCAAACTGTACAACAAATTACACTACATCCAAACATCTATAAGATTTTTTATATTTATAATTATAATCATCATCATATCTGCCGTTAACTGTCCATTTCTAAACATAGACCTCCCACATAAGGGATCTCTGACAGTAATTGCCACACTTGGTAGACGGGTTGGCAACCACAGTTAAGCTTTGGTGATGTTTTAAGAGGTACGCTACTGCCCATCTCTTGACCACTAAGTTCCTTTATTCTCTCTTACGACACCTGCGAGAAAAGATGGGGTGGCCTATTCTATGTCGGGGCCACATGGCATTTATAATATTAATATCTAAAATGAAAATTTTATGTAATCCAACTAAACTACACGACTTATTTGTAGATGAAAAATAAAAATACTTTCGATGAATTGATGGATGGATGGATTGGAACGTGACAGTTCACCCTTTACATAAAATTGGGTCAAGTACGTTCTATTAGGTCGTTATCGATGACACTGTGACTGTTGATAGATCACATTCGTATTACAGACATTATGAATTAATGCACCATTAAAACATACTTCATATTTAATTGCTTAAACTATCTACTTTAATTATTTAGCCCCTCTACATGTTTGTCTAAAGAAAAATTTGTAATAAATATAAGTTAAATGCTAGTAATAAATAAATTATAATCATCAACATCAACCCAATTGTCAAGTATAGTTGCCATACTTGACAATTGGGTTGGCAACCCCAGTCAATCTTTGAATGATGTTTTTGATGTTTTCTGATATTTAAAGAGGGATACTGCTACACATTCCTCAAACATTAAGTTCCCTTAGTCGCTTTTTATACACACCCACCTTTTTTGTACACCCACGTGACAGGAAAGGGTGGCCTATTCTATGCGGGGAGCGCACGTCAAATAAATAAATACTGTTAGATCTTATTACACAGAGCTATAAGTATTAAAAAACTTATAGTCCTGAGTATCCTAGTAGTAGGCCTAGTATTAAAATATTTACAGTGTTAGTTATAAATATTAAAAATGAATTTATATATTTGTTTGTTATCTCCAATATATAGATAGAGATAGACTTATACTTAAGTACTTTTATTAAATACTAACTTTCCCTTGCAACTTCGTCTTTGAAACAGCCGTCAAAAAATAACATAACCAAAAAAAAGTTATTTAACTTTAGTATGTTCTTCATATATCTCGTGAATAGAAAATAAACATACGAAGATAAATATTTTTACCGTACGGGAATCGAAGCTGCAATCATTGCAAAGTGAGGTAAAGAATGTAAAATCACTACTCCACCGAGATCGTGCCAAATAAGGAAACCATTTTTTAACTTTTCTCACTAAATCGATTACGTGCCCGTTCAGTTTATGTGGTGGATATTTCTCCAACTTTTGCTCGTCCTTCGAAAAACTTGTTCAATATCGTAAATATTCTTATGCCATTTTTGTAACCACTTAGATATTTGTATGGTTGTTATTCAATCACGCTTTAACAGCTAAACAGATTTGAATGAAACTGAATATACGATTATATTGAATCTTAACCCGTACGATACTTTATAGTGTAATTCACGCGAACAAAGTTGCGGGAAATGGATAATGGAAAAATACTACATACCTTTTAAATGCAAACACGTCACTATTCAAAGCTAAAGATTCGTAGCGGCCATATTTGAAAGCAGGTCGTATACGTAGATTTGTTAAAGTCCTGTAAACTTGGTAGTGGGATCGAACGGCCGATCTTTGGTTGGCCACGTTCAATTGTTCATAGCCATCAGCAACTGGAAGCCAGGTTTTTTCTGCTGTTGAGAATCCTGTTAAAATAATTTATAAATACTGATCGATTAAATTATTATTAATATAAATTATCATATTTTATAAGAGAAGGGATTTCTAAATTTTTATCGCCCTTAACCAGGTCTCAAAGGGAAAAGTGATGTAGGCTACCAACCTATTTCAATCCTACTTAGGTTTAGAAAAATAAATAGTGACGTCCTTGACAATCTTCTTACTTTTAGCAATTGGTTTTAAGGAATATATATATATTGGAATATATATATTGAAAGGTATCAATTGGTTTATTGTAAATATTATTCATTAAACCAGCTCGTACTAAATCATTCTTTTACTCCTTCTGAATCACTATATATAAATATATTCAAGCCTACGTCTATGGAGGAGACCTAGGTTCAGCAGTGGACAGATAGAGGCTGAGATTATGATGATAATAAGAGAAGGGAATTAACAACATTTAGGTTAACTATGATAATTTATTTAAATCATCGCATTAATTACTGTCTCTTATAAAACAAAACATAAAGTGCAAAAACTAAAAGTTAACAAATTCCCATGTTATGAAAGACAAAGAAGCAAGATATATATTATTATGTAAGGATAGAAGTATTTAGCATTCAGTTGTCTCTGCCTACTCCGCTAAATACTTGACATGAAGATAATAGATAAATTTATTATTATCATTTTACAAATTATTATATGGTAGACGGAGTTGAGTATGTCCCAAATTGTATTCTAAAATGCCCAAAAAAATTATCAACACCAGAAAACTCGTGTGCTTAAAAATACCTTAAGAATATCTCTTGAATAATTACTTGGTTTAGCTGCTTAATTAGTTTTAAGCGAACTCTTTGATAGACGAAAATTGACAGCGCTTGACGACAGCAGCAGTCAACGTTATTGTCGAGTACCGTTTTGATTTAATTTGATTGAGTTTAGATATCTGATGTCCATTTATTTATATAACTCTTAATTGCGTCTTATTTAATAACATTAGTAAGATAATAATGTTTTATAACTCTATTGAATTCTATTATAGTATTGTTAAAAAGATTTCATATGTACAAAAAAGGAGTCGCCAAAATGGATTCCACTTCGTGCTATGAATTTATGTTTATCCTCAAAAGTGATGTAAATTCGTACCCGCGGGTACGATAATGTATTCTTTATGCCGTCCGATTATAGAATTTCTGTTGTAAATACTGCTGTACCTAACACAATATTATGATATAGACAAGATTTTCAAAAGAAGATATTTTCAACTCATCTGAATTTTTTCCCGATGAGGGTACACGATTAGAAACGATAATGTTATCGATTTCAGGACGATTGTCATTAATCGTTTTAGAATTATTATATGTAGATGACTCCCATATTATTTAACTGCCTTTTTTTCTTTTATGTAGCAAAAAACTACCTATTGCAAAGCAAAATTTAAATATAAATACTACATCTACATATCTACGAAACATCTCATTATTTATTGGTGCATTTACAATCGCAGCTGTTTTTATAGAGTAATTTGCCTACTTAAAAGGCCAGCTGTACACCAGCAATGCTGCTAATGTTGTGGATGATCATGGGCGGCGGTAGACATTTACGATCAGGTGAATCAAATGTTCTATTGTCCCCTGTGTTATAAAAATACTTTTTTTTCTAAGCTTTTAATATTAGTGCCGTATATTTTAAAATTACTACTCGGATCTCATATTTATTCGGAAATTTGGATATAAGAAAACACCTACTCACTATATTTTTTTAAATATTTCTACAAGTTTTTTCTTTATTAGATGAAAATGGAATGGTAACCCCGCCTGCGCTAACGGGATACGCTGGCGGGGTACCAGTGAATGGTGATCTATGAGGATCAAAACAGGCCAGTTAGCCCATCATGATGGATTTATCTGGAATTAATCATGATAGTTTCCAGGGGGAACCGCGAAGAGGTCGACCTGGTTGGGTATATTGCTAATAATGGGATTCTCAGTCGCCATTATTAACAATCCCTTTCTCCCCTTTCTAAAAGTTTAAGTTATTTTTCTAAAGTTTTTTTAAAGTCTACGTCAAACTCGCAGATGTACCCTTAATTTCTGCTAATATTCTTAGTTTTAGGTTGACTTTTTGACCATATTTTCATTTAATATCAAATATAACAAACAGAAAATCAAACACGGTAAATAACCTTTTAATTTTTTCAAGTACTAATTGTGAATGCATCGAAACTAGATTTTGCTTTGCAACGAGCTGTTTTTTGCTCCACAAATGAAAACAATAGTTTCTAAAAATAAAATTAAACTAATAATCCTCTTGATGGAAAAAAAAATTTTAGAATTGATTCAAAATTTAATTGAATGACGTAATCGCGTAATATAGTTGCAAAAAATCAGATGATTTGGGAAGCCTTCATCATCGTCATCACCATATAAACTGTCCACTACTGGACATAGGCTTTCCCATAAGGGGAGTTTTACTAGAAGTCGCTACGCTTGACAGGCGGATTGGCAACCGTAATTAGACTTTGGTGATATTTAAAGAGGGACACTGATGCCTATCCCTTGACCATTAAATACCATTTATCATCTCTTATGATACCCACAGGAGAGGAAGGAGCGGTGTTGCAAACTCCTTAGTTATTTTTAAAGACTTTTTTTTATTGTATTTTTATACTTTTGTTTTTTACAATTGTCACTTTTACTATGCTGTCGTAATCTATTTTTCGTAGTTTTCTTTATTATAGTTATTTTCCTTTTAAACCCATCGTTTGATTACATCATATACATCAATATACAATCCATAATATCGCTAACCTAAATCGTAAACCTAAACTATATTTTTTTGCCTTTATTTTTAAACAAATACCTTTCTTTTGGTAATTGCCTAAAAATAGTGTAATAAATTTATTGGTACCATTATACATATATCATGGATTCAAGTAGGCAGGTAGGTACTTACCTATATTGTGCATATTTCGCTATAAAATTATATGACGTCATCAAGTACCTATAATATAGGCATAAAGTTATCAAAACACACTTAACCTTACGTCATTATTCCAAATTGGCAATAAATGTTAAATATGGTATCATAAGAACTCTGTGTAGGTAGGTAATATCATATTACACGCTGAACAGGAATATAATATATAATAATTATGTACTTAAATAAATTTTGTTTTAATAAGTTCAGTTTCGTCTTAAAGACTCTAAAGAAGATAATATTTTCGTGTCTATATATAGAGAGAGTGAGGTATTTAATCGATGATAATGGAATGCTATCGACATGGCTATCGACGAATGCTGGTGGGGTATCAGTGAGGGATGACTGATGAATAAATAACCAGATCAGTTAGCCCATCGTGACGTATTGCACAAGAATTAATCACGATTGTTTTCAAGGGAAATCTCATGGGAATCGACCTGATAGAGCATATTGCTAGTAATGGCGCTACTAAATTTCATTCAACCCGATTCTCAAATATAAGCCCCTATGTATGTTCCAATCAATAAAGTATCATTTAGTCTGAATTCTTTGACGGCCATACACTGTTGCGGATTCACCTCTACGCAGTTCCTTTCCACGTGGTCCTCCTAAAAACCATCGTGATAAATTCCTATCACATACGCCACGATAGGCCAACTTTCATGACTTCAGCCTCATCATTTTATCCTCCATTGATGCCCCGCCATTATATATTCGTAATTTCACAGACGCATCATTCCAACTACAACCATTACAAAAAAAAACCTTGACATATTATTTTTACAAGCTCTAATAATGCGAGTATGACAGCAATATAAGTACCAGAGAGAGACTTTGTACAAAAGTCGATTGCTTGGGTACCTCTGTCCCATTTGTGTTTCAACCGTGAAGCAGTTGTGTTTGCATGGCTGTGTTTTGATTTGAAGGGTGGGATATGGCCTGAATTTATTGGGTACAGAGGAATAACACCTGAGTCCTCAGAAATGGCAACACATGGGGGGTATCATGGGCGAAACAGTATACTCTGTTATGTCCATGGTACTGCTCATGTCTATACGCGACCGTTACCACTTTCCATCAGGTGGGCCGTCAACTTGTTTACCATTCTAAGTTATATAAAAAAAAATAAGTCAATATGCTGGATCAGAAAATAAACATTTTGAGCCTCCCATATTAACACAGTACATGCAGCAGTCAAATTAATATGAAAAGCTCAACGTTTTTTATCGTTTCTCAATCAATATTTCTTTAGAGCTGTATTCCTTAAAGATGCTAATGATTTCACCACATACGAGTATAAAACAAAGTTTTTTTCTCCGTTTACTTCATACAACGTATTTTGATGCGGATTTCACGGTTATTTAAATATTCATTTATGAAATATTTATATGTACAATAAATAAACTTATAAATACATTGTTTTATAATAAAATAAACAAGTACAAATCCAGGACAAGTCGCTAATAATATATCTTTTTATTTATAAAACCAACGCATTAACTTCATAGATGAGAAATAAATGAATCAGTATATACTTTTTGTTGTCTTTGTATCCTCAAAGGACACTTTTACATCAAAGGTGGGTATAATATCTAAGAATCCTCGACTAAAATAACACAATTCATTAGGGGTTGGTAATATATAGCAATATCTATATATTAGTTCAAAAACAAATATATTAAGTCTGTTACCCAAAAAATTATATATAAGCTTATGGTGGAGGGATGGACAGCAGTGTCCCTATTCAAAGATCTGTAAAAGCCTAACTGCGCAACTACCTTGGCACTCTACTAACTTGGCAATCGCAACCGCAACTGCCAAGCGTGGCAACCACTGGCAATACTCCCCTTATGGGAAAGGCTTATGTTCAGCAGTGGACACTTAACGGCTGAAATAATAATGATAATTATAAAAATATATCCAAAAATAATATTTGATAACTTTTGACATATTCAAAAAATAGATATCCTACCGATATAGGCGATATCGAAAATGACCTTTCTACCACCATCAATGTCCATAGGAACTACAATTTATTTTTATTTTACCATCTACTGGAACATACCTCCATTTTTTCCATTGTTCCATTGGTATGGTGTACGGACAGGATCACGGGAAACTTGTATGAAATTGACGGGATCGTCTGTATTGCACGCTTGAGGGTCCTTCGTCTCACTCCACGGCACGAAACCATTTATCATTCCAATTTCTTCCCCCTGTGATGAGTATACATATTTTTTATTGCATACGCTACAAGTTTTATTTTTAAATCAATATTTACTTAACTACGTTTTTTATTTATAACCGACTCCAAGAAAGTTCTAAGTAGTGTTTCTATTTTTTACATCACTGAGGTGGCAAACATGCATACGGCCCAATTGATGGTAAGCGGTTACCGTAGCCTATGTACGCCTGCAATACCAAGGGTTTTAAGCGCGCATTGCCGATCCTGAAAAAACTACTTTAGCCCCATTTTGAAGAACCCCATACTGCAGTCTCTTGAAAAAACCTTAACAGGCTCATTCCATAACCTTTCTATATGTATGTTCAAGGATTTTTTGTGAACAAGTTTTGATAATATTGTGTTTTTTTTTTATTTCTAATGTATTTTTATACAATTTGAAGTTAAAAGAAACTCTTTTGCATAGTTATGATAAAAATACCATATATTCATCTAAAATAAGGTTTATCTATATGACAATTGTCACTGAAAACCATTCAGATGTTTAAATCATAACAAACATTAAAAACAATCTTATAAACTGTAACTCATTTAATATTAATTAGATTCTATAACATACATCTACTCTGTAATCCAATACTAGTTTCTAATCAGTATTTAGTTTATAATTAAAATAATGAAATACCATATATGTGATCGCAATGCCGGGTAGTAGTAGAACAAGCATATTAAACGCGTCTACTAATTCAGGCCTGAAACGAGACGCTACTCGGCTTTTATCGTGATTGCCAATCTGGAAGAAATAATTATCAGTACTGCCACCCCCGTAATTTTATTGATTACTAGAGAAATCAAGTGGATAGAAAGATTGATTGCGTCATTTAAAGATAGAGTAATAACGCACTTTTACCTATATATTAATGAAATTATTTACTCGCTACGCCTGCGTAGTTATAATATAATTATATCAAAGGTACCTAAGTTGACGAGTTTTTTTATTAAGTTTTATATAAAAGTCGTCTGTTTGGGTACATTTGTCCACTCGTACTTCTGTCGTAAATTAACTTTGTTTGCATGACTGTGTTTGTGCATGTGTGTGTGCAAGTCAGAGTATATATATATATATATATATATATATATATATATATACTCTGACTGTAATGGCTTTACATCTGTACAACAAGTTTCCTTCACTTATCAAAAACGTTGTTGACGTATATAACTTTAAGAATGCCTTAAAAATGTCTAGTAATTAAAACTTATTACGCTGTTGTTATATCATCCGTTAATTGTCCACTGCCGAACAAAAGCCTTCCCCAGAAGGGAAGTTGTGCCAGTAGTTGCCAAGCTTGGCGGTAGGATTGGCAACTGCGATTAGACTTTTAGTGATGTTTTAAGAGGGACGCTCATCACTCTACCATTAAACTCTCTTAGTCGCCTATTACAAAACCCAGAGGAAGGAAGGGGTGGCCCATTCTATGCGTGGGACACACACGGCGAGTTGTTGAGTATACTAATAATAAATTATAAAATTTCAATTCGAATATTTTATTGACATTTGCATGCTAACAAGGCTGAATATGATTTGATCAATACTATTACTATTTTTTTTTCATGGGTGAAAATGGTATGGTAACCCCGCCTGCGTTAACGGGATACGCTGGCGAGGCACCAGTGAAGGGTGATACATGAGAATGAAAACAGACCAGTTAGCCCATCATGATGAATTCATCAGGAATTAACTATGATAGTTTCCAGGGGGAACCGCGAGGAGGTCGATCTGGTTGGGTATATTGCTAGCAATAGGATTCTCAGTCTCCATTACTAACAATCCCTTTTCCCATACTATTACTATTATAAAACTAAATTGTAAATACCCATAATTCGCAAATCGCTGATTGTTTGATTACAGTGTACTGAAGCATAACCATGATGTTCAGGAAAGGCAACAAATAAACTCAGTGCATTACAATGTACTTGATCTTTATGAAAATGATAATATTTACTGTCACCACTTTTAATGTGACTGGCAAATAAGCTGACAGCCAGATAGCCGTCGGCTTATACGTAAAAAGGACGTAGGTACATTAAAAAGTAACTTATTTACCACCACTATGTACCTAATAATAATGTACCTAATAAAACATACGGTGATATTTTTTATCTTCGTTTCTTAAGCAATTCGGTCAATTTTAGTTACGTTAGTTTATTTGCAATATAGATATATTGAAACTACTTTGTAGAAGCATTTGTAGAAGTATATAATTGAATAATAATTTGAAAAGTGAATAAAACCGAGATAAATAATTACAATACAGTATAGTCTAGTTCTATAAAATTGACCATGTAGTCCCGATATAGAATAGGCCGCTCCTTCCTTTCCTGTGGGTGTCGTAGGAGGCGACTAAGGGGGAGCAAGGGATGGGCAACAGCGTCCTTTTTAGAACACTTCTAAAGCTTGACTGCGGTTGCAAATCCGCCTGCCAAGCTTAGCAACTACTGGCAAAACCAAAGAGGGAAGCTTATGCTCAGCAGTGGACTGTTAAAGGCTGGTATGATGATAGTCTGATTATAGTAACCCAACTAACATTATTACGATGCAAGAAAAATCGTAAAAAAAAATAATAAAAAAAAAATATTTATGCATATATTAAAAACTGCGAGTACGTTTAACTTTTCTTAAACATTAACATCTAATTAATGAACTTCCCGTAATGGAGAAAAAGAAAATAGCTATCCCATATTTCTTTCGACCGATTCTGATAAAATATACATGAGTGTTTAAATTGCGTTTGTATTCGCTCGATTATAAAATTCAAATTCGTTTCACAAGTAAACAGATGAACGTCAATTATGAAAATGGCTGATTTAAATTCTATTTGTAAGACATAGAATTCAAATCAGCTTCTTTAGCTAATCTAAATTCTGTAGTTATCATTTCTGAAAAAAAAAATGTTAAAATTACTTTGAAAACTTTATGATTAACTTCTGCTATTAGTTTGTTATATTATAAATTTCTTTATAAAATTTAAAAACAGAACATAAAACAGAAGAGAAATGGAGGAGTAGGTATAATATTTTCCGCATACAATCAGATACTTATACCAATAAATGCTTACTTAATGAATTATAGAAATAATAATCTATACTTATAATAAATCTGTAGAGAGATCAATTCTGTACATGAAATATATTTCTAAAATAACTATCAGGGGGTGATTAGTGATTGATACTGATGCCAAAAATGCAATCAGTAAAATTTTTGTCTATCTGTCTGTCTATATGTTCGTTATAGAAACAAAAACTACTCGACGGATTTTAACGAAACTTGGTACAATTATTCTTCATACTGCTGGGCAGGTTATAGTATACTTTTCATCACGCTACAATCAATAGGAGCAGAGCAGTGAAGGGAAATGTTGGGAAAACGGGAAAAGTTATTCCATTTTTAAGCTTCCGTCGCGTGTGCAGCCTTAATGGCAACTTTTTAAAATGTAAAAATGTCCACCAAATGTCTTACATAAAGTACTATTATGGATATAATAAAACTATTAACTATATCCTGTAATTTTGCTGGCGTAGATGAGGATAAAAGTAGAGTATATATTAACATGTCATTTACGGGTGATAAAGTAACAAACATTCGAAATTTCAAACTTAAAATATTAATAGGATTAACGTATCGATTTCTAATGACCAAGCTGTTGCCCGCTACTTCGCCCTCGTGACCAGAATTTCATACAATTTTGCGTAATAAATAGTCATGAGTATTTCTTTTATAAATTTTACATCCTTTTAATACGTTATTTATTATTAACTCATTTTATTTATTAAATATCTTAATGAAGGTACGTCAACATACATTATGTGCGTAAGTACATTGAACACTGAGAAAACGAGTCAGCCAATTTGACAATTAGCTGACAAAACGTTGACCCGCTTTTGAGACTCGATGCTCTGTCTATATAATCTAATGGATATACGTACCAGCCAATTGGCTTGTTTCTTCAAAGGCTTATAAGTCAACCAACGATCCACCGCATATTTTATATCCCTCGCGTCCGAGTCCCTATCCAAGTCCTCCACGAGGGCCAAATTGAATGGGATATGTGCTCCTGAGTGGATCCCCTCACCGTAATACCTCACTGCATTTTTAATATTTGTATTTGCGTCCGTCATCATAACTCTGAAGAGGAAAAGGGAATATATAAAATCTGTTTTGAAGATTTGCGGAAAGAATTGTATTTAAAATTTATACTGACTAGAGATCTCATTACCCTTATCGAAAACATATAAAATATGCTTACGATTGTAACCTTTATTGGAATATTCAGATCTATATATATATCAATATCCTTTATGTTAAGCCAGTGAGAATCAAATTATTTCTTAAATACATATCTTACATATATTTAAAAAATGAATGACGACATTTTTTATATACTACGAAGATGGCAAACAAGTATTCAGTCCATCTGATGGTAAACGGCCACTGTAGCTTGCAATACTAGGAGTGTCATGTGCGCATTGCCGACCGTGAAGAAACCTTAATATACCCTTTTTGAAGAACCCCATACTCTAATCTCTAGGGAAAACCTTGCCAGCGAGCTCATTCCACAGCCTGAGCGTTCGCGGGAGAAAATTCCTTTGAAACCGCACTGTACGAGAACGTAACCATTTAGGTTCAAGCGTGTGAGGATGAATTCCTTGTCGAACGCATGCGGTTATTTTATGATGTTTCGAAGATACGTTAAATTTCAAATTATTGAATTTAGAACGCGGAATTTTGCAATTATAAAATAAATTTCACATCACATTATTGTTATGTGATTATTTCTTGTAATTATTTATTTTTATAATAAGTTTACTATTGTAATCTTTTGGAGGAAACAATAAAGAGTATCTATTTATCACAATAAATAGCTGCTTCGAAAAACGGCAGCTTCGAACGTAATATTTTTTTTTTACAATATTTTACCTACCTTGTGATATTGTTTCTAATACTAATGGCATCAAAAACGTCTCTAAATTGCGAAACCATATCGTACACTTCTTCTTGATCTTTCGTATAGATGTGCTCCAGATATCCATAGTCTTCTGGACCTAATCCCGGTTTCCCAGTCAAGGGTTCATCTGGATACCGGCCACCGTATAAATCTTTGTCTGCTTCAAAGAGATGGTTTATGGAAGTCAATCTCATACCAGCCACACCTTTTTCCAACCAAAATTTAATAATATTCTGCAATCCAATAAATACTGTGTAATTATTTATATAAAAAAAAATATAATTTCTAATAATTATAACCAATGAAAAGATAGTTGATAATTTGTTGCAATTCTAGTGAATGGAACAATGAACATGCGCCTATTTCGTAGAATATATTTGAACTTATTCATTGGGTGAAATGAATGAACTGTGTACGAATTATTCAATAAATAATATAGTATCGTATTTTAAAAGGTAACAGATCCTGGCATAAAACCGTTTTATCGTACCGTATTAACCGATTTCAATATATATATTTTTTAAGTTCTCCTTCAATCATATCAATCTCACTGTTTGTTTTAAAATGTTTTATATAATATTTGAAACAAATAAAAGATTATAATATAAGAATATACACATACTGATTTATTTGTTATCTTATTACAAGAATTTCATTTTGTTTTTAAAAATATCGGTACTTCTCGGTAATATATATGTACCGTACATTTAAAAACATAAAAGCCTAAAACATTTAGGTACTTCTACCTACGATTGAAAGAGGATTAAAACGTAAAATCGGAAGCTGAAATTCATCTATTGATCCAGTGGCAGCTGTGTTTAGGTAATATTTGTTTGCAATTTTATTATAATTGAGAAAATTTTTGTTGTATTATATTTTGTTCAAATAGTTACATTATATATCAAGAGTGTCGTATTAGTTGCATTCACTTAGATATATATATAGGTGTATATATATATATATATATATATATATATATATATATATATATAATATTTATTATATTTAAAATCGAAATATGCAATTAAATCATGGAAAATAAGGAATAAAGTCTAATAATGAAATTAATAATAAATACCTTCATTTCGTCTACAACAACGGGATTTCTGAAATTAAGGTCCGGTTGCGCTTCTCCAAATTGATGTAAATAATATTGATCCCTATTTGTCATGAAGGTCCAAGCAGATTTCCTAAAGACACTGACCTGAAATAAATAGTACAAATAGTAATTTTAAAATTAATTTTTCAATTAAAAATAGATATCACTGAGTGTATTGCTCAAATGGCTGCTTAACTTTAAAATTATTATTATTTATTTATTTTTTATTAATTAGTTTTATTTTTTACTTTTTCCCCACATCGATAGATCAGCTATAAATTTATATATACATAAGTATCATCAACGTTTCATCACGTTTTCCTTTAAAACATGTCATTGCACACCCAGCATGGCGCAAACAGTACTATCAATATTGACCCATATTTCTACGACAAAAAATAATCAGTTTCACTGGTAAAATTAAAAGAAATATAAAGGATTCTATAGATCGTTCCTATACTCGCTGTATTCTGCGGCCTCACTCACGTGAATCAGTATATAAAGTATCTTATATGATAAGTTTTTTTTTTTTATACAACTTAGAATGGCAAACTAGCGACCCACCTGATGAAAAGTGGTAACCGTCGCCTATAGACATGAGCAGTACCATGGACATAACAGAGTATACTGTTTCGCCCATGATACCCCCCATGCGTTGCCATTCCTGAAGACTCAGTTGTTATTCCACTGTACCCAGTAAATTCACGCCATATCCCACCCTTCACAACAAAGTCAAAGTACAAAGTCTCCCTCTGGTAGATATAACAATAGTTTGGATATAACTTAACCATGTACTAAATTTTGTTTAATCCGTTCAGTAGTTTTGGCGTGAAAGTGTTATAAATAACATCCATTCATTGTTACAATTACAATTACAATCAGTAATTAGAGTACAAATGAGTAGGTTTTTTATGCAACTTAGAATGGAAAACGAGCTGATGGCTCACCATAGAAAATGGTAACAGTCGCCTATAGACATGAACAGTATCATGGGCATAACAAAGTACACCGTGTCGCCCAGGATATCCTTCATACGTTACGGAAATAGCAATGCCATTTCCGAGAACTAAGATATTATGTCTCTGTACTCTGTAATTTCATTGTCATATCCCACCCTACAAACCGAAACACAGCCATGCAAACACAACTGCTTCAGAAACACGAATGAGACAGAGCTACCCAAGTACACGACTTACTTGCTTAGAAGGTATAATTACAGCTCGTCTATGTAAACGTACCCAATTATTTGGAGGCCGCCTTCTGCCATGTTCATCGAGGTAACCGTTTTCCCAAATGTACCAATCATTGTAATATTCATCTTTATTCGATGATTTGATAAACCATTCACTCTCATTGCTAGTGTGATTCGGTACAAAATCTAATACTATTCTTATGTCTGTAGAAATAGAACAAAATTATAGGTCATTGTTGATTTTAAACTACAGGGAATAGCAGACATGTTCACACTTAGCTAACTCAAACTTATTCAATAAAAAGATTTTATATCATCGTCATCATGTCAGCCATTGTCTGTCCACGGCTGGACATAGACCTCTCCCATAAACTGTCATAAGGAACGGTTTTAAACCACCAGACTTTATATATTTTCTTTAAATTGATATTTTGTAAAAATAATAGGCGAATTTCTAAATATTTTTTTCATCGAAAACAGTTATAAGTTTAAAAAAATAAAGTTTAATAAAACATTTGTTTGAAATAGATCAATCTATCAGGTCGCTCAGTCATCTATACTAATTTATATATTCAAAGGTCGTCCCAATCTAATTGACAATATACAAGACATTCTTGATTTAACCAAAAATTTCTTGTAAATTGTTATTGTAGTGCTATTATAAGATTAAGAGAAGTAATATTGACATTCTCAGATTTCATATAAATTGGGGTATTTGCGGTATATATTTATATTTGCGCTAAGTTATGTCCAATTGATAATGTTAATTGGGTATACCATCGAAATTTTTTTCTAATATTGCAAGCATTTCCAGTCCTTACAATATTACCTAAAGAATATTAGCATTATATAGCTAGTCAGTAGTGTCCCTCTTAAAACATCGCCAAAGGCTAACTGCGTTTGCCAACTCATCTGCCAAATGTAGCAACAACTGGCAAAACCCCCCTTATGAACAGTTTACCACTGATATACTGATATGATGATTAGTATCTCCAACAGGATTTTTTTTTTATACAACTTAAAATGGCAAACAAGCTGACGGCCCACCTGATGGAAAGTGGTAACCGTCGCCTATAGACATGAGCAGTACCATAAACATAACAGAGTATACTGTTTCGCCCATGATACCCCCAATGCATTGCCATTCCTGAGGACTCAGGTGTTATTCCTCTGTACCCAGTAAATTCACGTCATATCCCACCCTTCAAACCGAAACACAACCATGCAAACACAACTGCTTCACGGTTGAAACATGCATGGGACAGAGGTACCCAAGCAATCGACTTTTATACAAAGTCTCCCTCTGGTAAGGATATTTATTTAATAGTTTATTAAATAAAACAAAAAGTAATACAACTACTAACTTTAGACGGAAATTTGAACAAAATCTTGTTAACAAACTTTAAAGCGCTTATGCGCTTCGTGAACTAACTTTAGAGCTGAATAATTCAGATCATTCATCCAAAAGTAATGCATACATTTACATAATAGATTGAACGTTGAATTATAAACCTACGAAATAGCTTTGTATTGTATTATGAACTATCTATGACTTTAACAGTTTATAAAATATCATTAGCTAAATCTATTTTTAAAATTTCTTTATTCTTTAGACACTGAGTTAAATAATAGTTAACAAATAATTGCATTAAGTTTAAGATTGCTGGGAAAAGATTGCTTTTAGCAATAAGGCCGCTCATTATTTTCTCACTATGTTCACTTCTTGTAATTGTTTGTATCTTTAATAAATTTTCTATTGTAATCTTTTGGAGAACATAATAAAGAGTATCTATAATTAGTTTTTCTTTAACTAACTATAATTTAATAATCAAATTCAAATTAATTTCCATCATATTATGAATTACACTGGAATACTCACTAAGATCATTAGCTTTTCTCAAAAGATGTTCAAAGTCTTCCATAGTACCGTACTCTGGTTGTATAGTATAGTAATCGGATACATCATAACCGAAATCGTGCATTGGCGACTTGAAAATTGGTGACAGCCATGCGACATCGACGCCTATTTCTTTTAGATATTCCAATCTTGAAGTTATACCTGAAATAAATATAGACAAAATAAAAATTTGAAAAAAACTTTTATTTCATAACGTAATAATTTTATTTCAATGACAATAAATATAATTGAAAACATAGATTAACGACGACATCAATAATATTTTGGTGTTCATTAAATTCTCTAGTGAATTTAAAACATGTAAGGACTTATCCCTTATTTTTTATAACTCACTGCTGGCTAGGCTCATTAGGGATAAGATTCGTGAACATGTTTTTTATTTATTTATATTTTTTCAACAGATATATTTTTTTGACAGCTAAGTAAATTTTCCTTATGATAGAATGCTTGGTTTCCCTAGTCATCCCCTTACGATTCCCACGGGATAAAAATAATGATACACTATTCTCACTCTACGTCACATAATACGAGTAGTGGACTGTATTCCGTATGGAGGTTTTATTTTGAGTTTTCCTCCTGCTACACTGGTGTATTGTATTTTTTCCCCATGTCGCGTCTTACGACACCCTAGAGATGATAATAGTGACACATTGTATTTTTCACAACAGGGTAAACTATAGGGTAAAATCAAAGCTGTTAACCGTAGGTAAAACTCAACGTAAAACTCATACTACAGAAAAATTTGATAAATTAAAAATTCATAAAATAAAACTATAACTGTCTATCTGTAACTGTTTATCTACTGTTAGCATCTTTACATTTAGTATACCAATATTTTATTATATTTGTATCATAACATAACTGTTGTCAAGTGCCACCATTGCTGATTTGATTTAACTTCAAAATGGTGATTTGTCATTTCCGGAATAATTATTTACCCGCCAAAAATAGTCGACATAAAAACTAGAAGTAAAGACCAACAGTTGACAGTTGTTGATTGAACATTGACCAGTAAAGACGTATAATTTGGTAAGTCGCTTTAATAGAAATGTATTTTAATTGCAAAGTTGTGGAACTGTTAATACATGAGTTGGATTCCCCTGTAATGACACGAGTTTTATTTCATAACCACCGACCTCTTAAACTACAATTTTCAATTTTTCCCATTTTCAAGTTTTACCAAAGGTTGACTGGGAGAGAATCTGATTACACGTAAGTTAAACCGGTAGCCATTACAACAATGATATTCTCATTATTACAAATGTTTCTACGGTACAAGAATCGAACCTCTGAACAATGGAAGGTAAGGCATTGTGTTAACCGCTATATCAACATAGTAGTCAGTAATTTTATTTATTGTTTCATCTTGTTTTCTATTTTTTTTTTTATTTCGAATATTCTCATATAAAAAAGCAACATAAAACCTCCATAGATTACCATTGATATCACCGACCCCGTCTCCGTCGCTATCCATGAACGATCTGGAATATATCTGGTAGAAAATGGCCGTCTCCCACCAATCTTGTTTCATGTTTACATTTTCGTATCTCCCTTGGACCGTTGTAACGACAAATGCAAATAGCAAAACCTTCCACATCACTGCAAAATTCAATTATATCATATTGCGTTATCTACATTTTACTGAATTACTGATATATCGCATAACGTACATAAAAAAACAACATCTTGTTATAGAAAGAAGCCTATAAAGCATTCTATGAACAATTATATATTTCATTGCATGAAACGACTTTCACAGCGAAATGTTTTGTACTCGTAGATACCCTACAATGAATCGTTTTGTGATACCTTATCTTAGATTTTTCCTTAGCAACAAACAGGTTAGAAAAAGAGGCAATACAACAAATAACGGCTAAAAAGCTAGTTAAAAAATATCTAGACAAGCGACAGTGTGTTCAGTCAAGTTCAAAGTATAAGGAACTGACGACATAGCCGAGTGTAATATTACATTAACCATTTCGAACCACTTTTGACTCCCTCACAATAGAAAATATACTCTGCAGCTTTGCTTATATAAATTGGAATAACAAGTATCCTATACACATATTTATTTAGGACCTGCAACCCACCCTAGCTTCGCATGGATGTAATACCATAAAAAGCATTTATATTTTATACTTAATAAATCATTTTTAATATAAATAATATACTTAATAATTAAAGTTCCAAATTTAAAATTTCGTATTTAATATAAATACGTAATTTAGTATTGTATTATAAGACTAAACATGGAACAGTTCAGTTAAACCGTGACATTTTTCTTACTTAGAGGATTGTTATACTTGTTGTAACTTCTAAACAAAAAGTCCGATCTGAATACTTCAAAGTAGAAATTACACGTACATAATCAGTCTTAATTAGCAAATCATTTAAATAGATAATGATTAATATCATGATTACAATATTACTATAGTATTCCACCAGTATTCCAGTATTCCGTTCCACCCGTATTTCAACTTAATAAATTAAACAAAAAACAAACCTTACCTCTTTATAATACATATTATTATTTTATTTAGGATGTGTTCTGTCTTTGTTCTTAGCAAAACTCATTCAAAGCAATTTACAAACGTTCAAACAATTTTACAAACTTTCACAATTATAATATCAGTGCGATTATCATCGCCCTGTCTAATCCATATTTAATTAACTTACCAAGTTATTACAAAGTTTAACCTGTGGTTAAACACCAGTGAACTTCATAAATGATTGTAATAGAATTGTAATTTTGTAACAAGTCTTGCTTAATTGGTGTTTAAAAACTTAACGAATGTTTGCTAAATATGTCATTATGACAACTCGTGATGTTTAATGAAGTTTGACACAATATTTTAATTGTTATCTTTTATTAAACACGAGCTATAAATCGTGGATTTGCTCATTTGAATTAAAATAAATAATTTAGTGTATTTATAGACTGTTATAAAATACCAAATTTCGCATAAATCTGTTCAACTGATTAAGTTACATACATCTTAACAATGCCACCTACTCGGAGACGTTTCTTATGGCAATCTATGGGGAAGCCTTTGTCTATCAATATACAGATAATGGCTGAGATGATGATGATGATTATGATCTTAACAATAAATGTTGAGATACAAAAGTCTTTAAAAAAACAGCAGTAAATGGTTGATTATAAATAAATAGGTATAATTTAGTCTTGCATTGCGTAGGACGAGACTAAAAAGGAGGAATTCCTCAAATCGCCTGTTTTTCGTGTATGTATGTGTGTGTGGCTATATATAAAATACAATATTACACAATATCTTTGCCAATTTTGAACCGATTTCAAAAATTATTATTAAATCGATAAAGTTAAAAACCATATTAATTTTATTAATCAATGACCATGTATACTTACCCATTACACCTAAATTCGACGCTTAATTAAAAAACCGATGCATAATCAAAGCTTTTAAATAGTATTTCATTAGGAATATTTAAAAACAACTTCCCATTGTTAACATTTACCATAGTCAAACATCAATTGTGCAGTTATATAATTGTTTAAACATAACAAATATCATGCGGAGTGACATTATTAAATGTTCATGATCTACCAATCGTATTCACATCAAATCCTATTTGATTTAATTAGGTAATATAACCTGCAATCACATCAATTACCTAGTTTTTTTTTATGGGTGAAAATGGCATGGTAACCTCGCCTGCGCTATCGATATACACAGGCGGGTCACCAGTGAGAGATGATCGATGAGGATGAAAGCAGGTTAGTTAGCCCATTGCGACGAATTCAGCAAAACAATGGTTTTCAGGGCGAACTGCGTGGAAGTCGATCTATTGCTAGAGATGAGGCCATTACATCCCATTACTGACAATCTCTTTCTCCCCAATTACCTAATGTTAGGATATCAGCAGGTTAATAAGAAAGGATAAGAGAAACCAGGTAACAAATATGTACACAATTCAAAGAATATGCGTACTCGACTAAATTTACAAACTGATTATTTGTTTATTATTGTTTTGTTTAATGCCGCTATCATAAGTATACCTGAAACCAACTACATTTAGTTCAGAAACTAAAGCCTCTAGTAGTCTACCAATGGTATGAGTTATTCCTCATAAATATGAAATATCTTACGTTTTATTTATATTTTATTTTATTAAATATTTTCTTACTCTTTCATTAAACAAATGAGACCATGAAAGAAGCAGTAAATAAACAGTGATGTCAATTCTCAAGTGCCATTTCACCGAATCTATCTTTTACCTTAATATTTTAATTTGATTCCGTAAAATTCTTGTTTTATGAGTTATTATAAACTAAGCTTATAAAAATTTTTAAGCTTATAGAAACTTAGTTAATAACTATTTTTTAAATAAATAATTTATTTTAATACCAAATTGCTTGGGACCTCTGTCCCATTCGTATTTCAACCGTGAAGCACTTGTGTTTGCATGGCTGTGTTGCGGTTTGAAGGGTGGGATATAGCATGAATTTACTGGGTACAAAGGAATAACACCTGAGTCCTCAGGAATGGTAACGCATGGGGAGTACAATGGGCGAAACAGTATACTCTGTTATGTCCATGGTACTGCTCATATCTATAGGCGACGGTTACCACTTCCCATCAGGTGGGCCGTCAGCTTGTTTACCATTCTAAGTTGTATAAAAAAAAATCATAATAAATTTTAAAAAGTGACGCCTCAGAATCAAATCCAGGATGTAATGTAATCATGTTTAATTTCCTAGTCGAAGTGTTAATAATTAACCAATACCTAAATATATTAGTAGTACGTAATAATCGTTAACTATCGATTAAATGAATCGACAGTTCGATTAAGGTTACAAATAATCTAATAGTCGACTAAATAATTGACAATAAAAAGAGTTAAATTAACCCAACATTTTTTTATTTACGTACGTATTTACGTTAATCAACGTGTCCATAACGGAAAATGATATATGACAATTGCTTAGAAATATATTTTAACTACTCATTAAAGCATTTATTAATGATATTTTTCTTCTTTTCAGGTAAACATCACAATTATATTACGTCGTTCATTCTCATAACTTCATTTGCATATCACAATTTGTCATGTAAGTACCTAAATACTGCACAGTACATGGGGTGAAAAGAAACGCCACTTTTAGTAAAGTTATAGGTAACGTGCCCACGTAATTTCAGGAATAGAAACGCATGGGCGGTATATTATATTCTGTAAATTGAAATATCTGTGTTACTTTTCATATCTATGAACGACGAAATTAGACATAGATTCGGTGGATAATGATCCGATATATATACAATATTATACCACTAAGATGGCAAATAAGCGATTTTTAGTTAGGGTATTAGGCGCGTGTTACCGACTCTGAAGAGACCTCTTTATTCCTTCTCAAAAAAACCTCGACAACCTGAGTTTTCGTGTAAGAAAACATCTCTGAAACCAAGCTGTATGCGATCATCTAAGCTTTAAGATATAGATGTAAACTATCTGGCGATAGCGAGGTGTACGATGGTAGAAGGTAAGTATTGAGTTCCTCTAAACATTGACGGCGGAAAAAAGTTTTGTTTGTTTGTTTAGAAATTTCTATTGTACATAAAAAAAGAGAACAGAAAGAGCAATTAGAATGTTAAACGGTACAATTTAAGTTAAGTTAAACGGTGCATTTTTTTTTCAATATTTAATATTATCTTTTGGATAACAGACTTTTAACATATTCGAAAAAAAAAAACATCCGAAATTTCTAAACAAACAAACAAATAACCGGTTTTCATGAAATATAATATCAACCCATAATATATTTAGAATTTATACTAAAGCGTAAGTTCTAAAGCTCGTACAATATTAAAGCAAAGTGAAAGGATTATCTTATGCATTATTAATCAGTAGTTCCAAAATATAGCATACATTTCACTACCCCGAGTTACAAACCCCAAAGGCCGACGTGAGCTCGATCAGTATTGCCAGATTGGGTACTTCTTTCGATTTTTTTTTAGGTAAAAAGAAAGTGGAAAAAATTGTGGTAACTTTTTTACTCTTTAGACATTTTTAAACTATATATAGAACTATAGAATATTGTAATGAAGATAGTAAAATTACATTTTTTTCGTCATTCGCCTAATGTTTACGTGGTAGAACGTACTAACAACTAACAAAAGATTATGATATCGTAAAGTGCAGAAATCGTTTTAGTTTGGAAAAAAAAATACTTGAACTTTGGGGTAAAATCAAAATTGCATCTGGCAACACCGAGCACAGTTCTGAGTGGTACCAAAACTTTGAGCAACTTTGTATGTCAGTTTACATTTGTAGGTACCTATAGTACAATATAATAGAGATAAATATTTTTTTTTTATATTCAATCATAAGTCTTAATCTGTTATCAAATGAAGACGTAAAATGACAAACTACTAATATCCAATAATCCGATAAATATAGACTTATAAATTGAGGTCCAATATGGTAGATTGTAGAACTTCTAGTAGCAATGATGGTGGTCAATCTCCGAGTGTTCACAATCATACACATATTAATGGTAACAGAATTAAACAAAATATTTTTATTCAAATAACCAATGATTTTGGTCGTATGGTCCCGGCAGA